CTCCCTCCTCGTGTTCCTTTTCAAATTAAACTAATCAATTGTAAGAAGAGTTATGGCATACTTCCAAGTATTTTCTGTTCATTTTGATGTCATGTAATTGCTGCATGACTTAATGCCAAGCACATATCTTGTGGAAAAGATTAGCATTAAACATAAATATATTTAAGCTTTCATATGTTACTGAGACAGATAAAACATGCTTTTTTTTTTCTTTTTTGTATACATAATATTTGGGGATTACAAGCAGTAGTTTTTGTGTGCTTTTTAGTTTTTCCTATGCAAAGGCAATATTGGCCCGTTCATTTTTGAAATTTTTTAGTATCTTTTTTTTTTTTTTTAAATTTATGATAGAGTGCATGCATGTGTGAGGGAGGAGAGAACACCCTTCAAAGGATCTGATCACTCTGAGATCTCTTCCTTCCTCTAGCTCTCCAGCTCTTCAGATCGTGGGCTCTTGCATATGTGCCCGGTGTGTTCTCACTGACCACTTCAGTGGTCACCATGTGGGATCTGGCTTCTTTTGAGCAATACTGCACTGTGGAGCTGGCCTCACATTTAAATTTTTTGTAGTAGTGGTTATGGGCTTGCCCTAAATGATTCATACACCCCTTGACACCGTTTTGAGATGACTGGTTAAGAGGGCAGTTCTTTTTCAAAGTTTAATGATCCAGATGAGCATTGAACCTATAAAGTTAGCTTTGTTCATTATCGCAATGTTCTGATCAACAAAACAGTTCAACAGAGAACTGTGCCATGTTCTCATTTCCTCTTGAAAGTAGGCCTTTTAGAGGTAGAAGGTGCAGACATGCATATGTGCATACACGTAAAACAATAAAAAAAGGAAATGTGTGTGATTATTAAGGTTGCATTGAAACAGGAAATAGTGTGCTTTTATAAGTGGTCTAAGTAGTGCTTTGAATATAATTTTCAGAAGTACATGATATACATATGGAGGATTAAATATGTTTATTATATAAACTTCAGTCATTTAGGCTAGTTAATGACTTTTAAAAAGCATTAATGACTTATTTGTTTAGGCTGTATAAATTTAGGTTAGATGAATCTGAAAAAAAATTTCTTTTTAAATCACTCCAATTTTCTCAGTGTTTCCTATTTCTAGCCTATTTAGTGCACATTGATAGTGTGTTTTGAAGCTTGGAGTTTAGTTAACAAAGTTTAAAGTTAAAAATATAATTGTTGTTTAGTTTCAGAATATATTTAAAGTAGGCCGTATTTCATAAGAATAGAAATATGCTAAACTACAAATACCTGATAAAATTGTCACAGTTAGGTTAATTAAAACTCAAAGCTCTTTTCTCTGAACTCACAAGCATATGTTATTTATTTATTTTGTTTGTTTGCTTGCTTTTTGATGTCAAAGGGTCTGTGCATGCATGAGAGAGAGAGAGAGAGAGAGAAAGAGAGAGAGAACAAGAACTCCTTCCGGGGGGCCACAATCTTTTTTCCCCCTCATTTGCATCCTGGACACACACAGGCATGCACCTGTGTTTTTCAAGCTGCCAGGACCAGGATTCAAACCCCAGTTGGCCATGAGGGATTCGGCACCTTCTACACAACACTTAACCACTGCACTATGGGGCTGGCTCTCATTTGTGTTTTTTTGCAGTGTTCTAGATGTAAAATATACTTTGCTCAGAATAAAACTGTGGTTTGGCTATCAAGAACAAAACTGAGGGAAAAAATGCAGAAAGAACGGAATACAACTGTGTGAAGAAATCCCGCTTTGTAGCTGTGTGATCTAAGTAGTAGAAAATCTCTTACATAGACCAAACATTTCAGATCTGTCAGATGTGTAATCCAGAGAGTAAATTCATTCACTATATTTTCAGTGATATTTTTAAATTCATTTATAAATAGGATCATCCGTTCTAGACAAGTTGGCTATATTATAGAACATTAAGCAAGCAACCACCAAGTTAATTTTTGTAGCAGTTGAAATTTAACACTAACCTTTGAATTTTATGTAGTTTACAATCTAGCCCAAATCTATTGATACCTTTGGAACTGCTTTTTAGATTTCATTGTATGCTTGTGAAAATGTGGCATGATTTTATTAAAGCGTGTTATATTTAGTTATTGAACAGATGTTTGAGTGATCCAAAATTGGGCTCTTTGATAGATAGAAATATGAAGGTGTAGTTTCTATTTTAAGGAATGTATAATATTTATGTTAACCCGAGCTTGACATTTTTTTTTTTTTTTTTTTGAGAGAGATTTTTGCTATAGGGCATGTGCACTTGCCAGAGAGACAGAAAGCAAGAAATCACCCCCTGGGGGATGGCCATGCTCCATCCCTTCTCTTCCATTCTTTCAGGATTTGAGGCATGCACACACACACACACACACACACACACACGTGTACCCAACATGAGTTTTAAGCTGCTGGGTCTGGAACTTGAACCGTTGTCGACTCTTTGGGAGTCCAGTGATGTAATCAGGATACCAACTACTGGTCTCTTGATAATTGTTTTTATAAATAAAAGTTGTATTTTCATGGTAGAGTAAAAATAGAAAGATACTCATTTGCTGAGTACAATTATTGTGAATATTTAAAACTCAGTTGTGGAACAGTTATTTATTTATTTATTTGGTTTTTGTTATAGGGCACATGCACTTGCCGGAAAGACAGAGAAAGAAAGGCGGGGGCGGGGGGTCAAGAAATTACTCCCCAGGGAGGATGACCATGCCACAATCCTTCTCTCTATTCTCCTCTTGGGATTTTGGACATGCACACATGTGCACCTTGGCATGAGTTTCAACCCATCAAGTCCGGGATTCAAACTGCAGTTGGCCATGTGGGAGTCCAGTAACATAACCAGTATGCCATCTGCTCATCCTACTATGGTCTTATTTTTCTAAGAGCTTTATAGTATTAGAACAAGTCAGTTTCCTACTTATTTGAAATAGAGTAAAATAGGGGACCAGCAGGTGATGTGGTGGTTAAGACGTTGGATACTCTGACATGACCAACCATGGTTTGAGTCCTGGACCTGGTGGCTTGCTTTCCTTCT